GTTGCCTGGTCTGAAGGGCCTTGCAGCACTCGCAAACCCCATCCCTGGGCCAGCCCTGACCAGGAAACTCACCCACAGCGCATTTCCGAGCGCCCTCCTCCCCCAGCAGCCCCCGAGAGCGGGCTGTGGGCCAGAGGAAGGGTCCAGGCAGCAGCAGGCTGCTCCACACCACGGTCACCCCGGGTTCCCCAGAGCTCTCCCTGCAGGACGGGGTACCCCTCCCTTCCAGCACGGGCAGGACTTTGTCCTCCTGCACAGGACAAAGGAGCCGAGGGCCCTCACTGCCCGCTGCTGAGGCAGAGACCAGGGGCTCAGTCTTGCTGGAAACCGTTTCCTCAGCCAAAGTTTGAGGGGCCCTTGGGAAAGGCAGCAAGTGCAAGCGAGCCGCGAGGGCTGTTCTATGGGCTGCGGCTCCCAGCTGCCCCTTTCCCTGGGCCGCTCCAGGACAGGCAGGGACCGGCCTCCCGCACACCCCAGCGAGCGCTGGAGCGCGCAGACGGATGGCAGCCGCAGGCCGCGGAAGGCCAACACACAAGGTCCTCTTGCAGCCAGCCGGGAACACTGGGCACTAGTTCTAAGACTTTACCTTTTCCTTGAAGAGTGTGAATATGGCACTATGCTTTATTTAAAAGGAGCGTACTGAACTCTTCTTGCAAAGAATGGCACAACACATGGAGCCAAAGGAAAAACCAAATGCAGTTCTTCCAACTACGATTCCATGCTTTCCAGCTGGTGAGAACACAGAGCTGCTGAGAAAAGCAGCGTACATTCACCCCTAACTGGAAAACAGTAATACCTGCAGTATTATGGCCAGCCAGGTTGGAGCGATCCTCCTGGTCCAAGACAAAACAGCACCTCAGGCTGTCCAGTACCTGCAACTTGACCTGTGCGTTAAACGGCAGAGAAGGGAGCAGAAAATCCTTGGTTGTAGCTTCCTGAAAACACAGGAGACCTTACGCAGAGGAGGTTAAACACCTCTACTCACTCCCAGATGATTTAATCTGAAATTCCTGGGGAACAACCCTAGGGAAGGAGAATGAAATTCTAGGAACTCCATCCCAGGAAATCTCTTTGTGAAAACTTTCACAATCACCCATCCCGGGACTCCTAAATGGATAAATTTAAGCAGTGTTTCATATTTCAGTCCACACTGCTATCAGACAAGGCTGGAAGCAGGCCTGGTCCCACCAACACTTCAGCTCTTGGCAACGTATAACCTGCAGGAAGCGTGCCTGAAATGGGCTGATGCTGCAGCAAGAGGCAGCAGTGAACACTGACAACTTCAGGGAGCAATTCACTGCAAAATCCTGTAAAATTTTAAGTCAAGGTGCCACCATTGCATCCCTACATCTTAAAACCCTAGTCAGCCACCATTCACACTTCAGAATTACCAGGACTGTATGTTATATATAAGTACTGTGTACTATACCTTACATGAACCAAAATACACTTTGTTTCTATGCTGAGTCCTGATTCTCTGAGCAGGGACCACACTGCTGTCTAGGAGGGCAGAGGGAGCTTCAGCCGGATGCAGGTCCCACAGGGTACTGAAGCTGTTAAGACAATCAGAAGGAGTGGGAGAGGGGGCAGGAGTGGAGAAATGCATGCATGACCACCACAGCTTTTAGGAACAAAATTTATTCCAATTTCAAACAGAGAATTTATTTCAGGAGAAAGATATGAAAATCAATTTCCATCAGATATTTCTGTAATAAGGGTTGTTGCCCAGCAGTCAGAGTGGGATCATTCCAAGAAACAATCACACCCCTGGACTGGAATGAGACAGTTTGGAGCCTGAATAGATCCTGACACTGGGCATCTTATTCAGAAACTCCTTTACCCTACCCTCTTCCCTCCCCCCACCCAAACACGCACAACAATACATGCATTGCAAATGACAAGGTTTAAAAACAGCATTTTATATAGTATCTTTTTAAATAGGATAATGTTTAAATTGTCTTAAATCAGGATCCTATAATATACAAGTATAACCAAATAATTTCCACCACATTGGCACTTGTAAAGAGTCTCTGGCACTACTAAAGAAGGGGCATTGGCACAAACCATACTCTTAAAAAACTGGGTGCTGCGTAACACACTTTATCTCTGCTGGACTCTAACAACCTGGGCTCTGTACAGTACAATACAATGGTCAGCACACTCCGGAAGTACTTTTAAAAAAAAAACAAAAACAAAAAAACCCAACAATAAAACGCATGAAGAAAAACCATAGTTGAACACAAGGCCAACATTGCTAGGAAGCAACAACAAGAGACCAAAGAATCCAACTCTGGGAGAAGGGGAGACAGGCAGAAAGGGCAGGAGCAATACGACACGCTGAAGCAGGAAGGGGCTGTTGCTCACCAGGTAGCCAATCCACACAGAATGGTGCAAAGAAATGGGATGGTCCTCTCCTTACTGACTTCAAGTTGCAAACTGGTTCAACATATGTGGGTTTCTTCAGCAGAACAAAGATTAAAAGTGCACAAGGAGCAGAGGTTAGCCAAGAGACCACTTCCTCAGACTCAAGATTCTAGATTCTCTGCAAGAACCCAATTCCACCTCTGTTCTGAAGGTCAATCTGTTGTCTCAACCTGCAGAAAATTCTGACTGGCCTTACTTTCAGAAAAGATGATCTAGGCAAATTTGGTTTAAGGTTTGGCACTTTTGCTAGGGCAGGTATTTGCCAAAGGGCCAGCCAACGGAGACATGAACCAGTTCTGCAGGAATGCTTCACTGGCCAAGCTGGAGGCACACAAGCTACTGCTTGCTAAGAAAAGCACGTGCTAACACTGGTATCTTCTCACATATACTATAGTCCACAGACAACTCCAGATTATGAGTCTGACCCATTCCTCTCCTAATTCATAATGAGGTTTCAGGAACTCATGAGACAGGCATCACAAAGTTCTCCTCTTCCCTTTGCAATAACCATCACACCAAGTCAGTTATCAGGCCGACAGCTACACCAAGCAGTTGCTTAGTAAGGTACAGCACACGCCTAAATCCCTGTGCCCGTAGCCTCCCACAGTTCCCCACGACAACACAGATTCACTCTGCAAGAGACAGAAGCCATGATCCCTCCTCCTGCGCCAGGGCAGCAGCTCTTAAAGAAGGGGAGGATACAAAACAAAGAAAAGTTTCTGATTCAAGTGGCAGGACCACCATCATTCACCTTGGAAAAAAAACTTCAGGGAAGTTATTTCCAAGAACCTGTATATTTCAGTGCCAGGTTCGTTGCTGGCAATAGTTGTAGTGTGAACCATTTACAAGAGGATCACAGAAGCAGAAGAGGCTGGTGCTGCCATCTGCTTCAGATGAACAGCACTTAGAATACACGAAGATGATTATAAATTCCTCTTTATAGGACAGTTTCTACAAAATGGATCATTTCGGCATAAAGACAAAAAAAGCAGTAAAACTGATGCAAAGCTGTCTGACACATGGGAATCCCTCTCATTCCTCCCAAGTGTTAAATGCAGTCCAGAGCATGGCTGGTCTAAAGAGATGCTGCTTCCCTCAGCATCACCACTCAGCCAGACTGGCCCTTCAGCTATTGGTCCCATGGCTACTGTTCCAACTTGAGCTCTCTAATCACTCTTAGCAGAGCTTGCTTTCTTCTGTAGTGCTCCGAGACACACAGAGGCTTCCCTCAGCTATCCTGGAAAACAAGAGGGACCTATAAACAGAATTACTCAAAATTATATCCCTCCATATTTTAGTGTTCTAGATCAAAGCATCTTAAGCATCTCAGACAGTTAAGATTTACTCTTACATGTTGTGCAAAACACTGATGTAGTGCTCTGTCTACAAAAGAGACAAAATATCAACAGCCCCCTTCAACAGTGCAGCTCGTTTAGTCTTTATCTACTGGCAGCCTGCTGGCCTTTGGGGGGGCAATCTGGTTGATCCAGAGAATTTGGACCCAATGCTACTTGTTGGAATTGAAACAGAAGCACGAGTGGTGGCTGAGCGACAGGCGTCCGGAGGTGGGTCAGATCTCCCCGTTTCCAACTCACTCCCTGCTCGACACCGCAGTTACATCTCCCAGACCCGCCACAGGTCTTCGGCACGTTTGTTCACCCGCCTCAGCTACTGGAGAAAGCTCTCTACTGTGCAAAGGCTTCACATCCTTCTGCTTAGTGGAGTTTCACTTGGCATCTGTAATTCAGAACTACTTCCACCTGCTCCAGCAAACGCTGCTGTCTCTGCCTCTGCCCCTGCTAAACAAGTGCAGCCACCGCAGGGCTCTCCGGAGCCTCCGCAGCCAGCCGCTGCACGCACCCTGGGGCGGGCACGTGTGCGGGTCCTGAGCGAGGATCCACACTCCTCTAGAGAGAAACACAGCAGCATGTGCCTCAGGGGAATGCCGGAACGGGAGAGAGGGCTCTGCCACTCCCTCCAGGAGCTATCCTCAAGCCTTTCAAGTAAGAATCCTACCTTTGCCCCAAAGGTTGTCACCCACCAACCCTGGTCCTTTCTAAAAAATCTACAAGCTGGACAGGAGCAAGGAATTCTTACAAAGTCACTCAACACACTGGCACAAAATGCAATAAACAAGGCTTGCTTGCTACGAGCAGCAAGTAAAGAACTAGAGGGTGGCACGAGACTAAGATTTTTCAATCCAGACCAAGTCTGATGTTTAAATGCCACAATTACTCAGTGTGCTTTTGATATCTGCTGCATAGAGAAGTTGCTCACTTGATGTCATATACTCAACAAAACATGGTTTCTCTCTGCAAATTGAGCCTTGTGCGCGCGCACGCATACGCTTGTGGTGTGTGGGGGATGTGTGTATGTGTGTGAAAAAAATAAAAACAAAATAAAATAAAAAAGAATAATTACAGTCAGGCACTTCCCCAGGCTCAGCAGCTATTGCTCCAAGAGCTTCCATCATTTGTAGTCCATGAACAAAATACAGCAACACGTAGCAAACTATGTATAGAACGTCAATAATTTAAAAAAAAAAAAAAAAAAAAAAAAAAAAAAAAAAAAAAAAATCACAGTCTCCATACCTTTTATAATTGATAAGAAAAAATAACTCAGAACTAGAACATATAAAGAATGGAAAAGTGATGGCTTTTTTTTTTGTTTTGTTTTGCCTTTTTCTTTTTTTGCACAATAGTTGGAGAGCAATCGCTCCTCCCCAACATTTCATCACAGTGAACCATGGAGCGTGTCCTGGGGAAGGGAAGGGGAAGCAGCGGGGGGAAGCAAGCAGGATTAGCAAGTTACACCAGAGGCACCCTATAGCACAAGGCAAAGGGACCAGTAGCATTCTGCACTCCCACAGTCCAGTGAATTCACAATCTCAGCTGGAAAGTTATTTTTTTCTATATTTACCATGGGAATGAAAAGGGGGAAAAAAAAAAAAAGTGGCTAAGCAACAAAGGAAAGCTCAAGATGAGACTGCCTTAGCTGTTTGGCAAAAATTAAGAAGTAAGCAAGGTGCTGGAGAAATGAGGCATATCCCCGTTAACTGTGAAATAAAAGCAATTTGTTAAAAATATGAAATCAACTACTCTGTGGACAGAGACATGAGACTCCAGGATAACACTGAGCACTTGCCACTCCACAGATCAGACAATTTGCAATCATTACATCATCAAAAATTAAAACTTTTTTTCCTGTCATATTTAAAATTTCTTTTTTTGTCTTTTCTTCACAATGAAGCCTCTCAAGGGGCCAAGAGCAGAGCAGGTCAAACCAGGTTGTACTCCTTCAGGTTGAGCTGTAGGATGGTGTCCTTGACAGCTGCAAAGACGAAACGGATGTTTTCTGTGTCTGTGGCACATGTGAAGTGAGAATAGATGATTTTATCGCTGTCAGGATTTAAATCCACAAACATCTTGAGAATGAACTCACGGGCTGCCTGTGCATCCCTCTGTGGGCCTGCAGCAAACAAAGAAACCAGTTAATGGATTTACGCTAAGCACATCCCCTGGTTTGATCCATCAGAATAATTGCTAGTGCACTTTTTCTTATGTGTTACAGAGCTATAAAGAAGAAATTAAGATCATTTCTTGCATTAAAGTCCCAGGAGCTGAAGTGTCATATGCTTTTCTGTTACCTAACCACAACCTACAAAAGGCATTCTTCCGAGGCTGAGAGTTCTGACAGACTCCAAGGCGTCACTTCAGACCGCGCTCTGAAACACAGCGGGTGGAAGCACCCTGCGTGCGCTGCGCTCACAGGTAACGGTGACAGATGTTACACGTCACCCAACGCTCTCCTCTGGAGATGGGGTGTGTTTTTCATACAGATGGATCTTAGGCACTGAAGGATACAAGTGTACGTTCTGCAAACAAGGGTCATCTTCAGCCAAAAGCGCGGTCTGTCCTGACTGGCTGGTCAACTCACAGGAGATAAAAACCAGAATTTTTGCCAGTATTTCCTTCACATTGCTGACAACTTCTCAGAAAAGCCACCTACTGGTATTTTTTTCACAGGATTGGTGTTGCCACATTCCCCCTGTCAAGGACCATCTCTTGGGAGGTGGGCTGATGGGCTACCTCCCACTCCGAGCCACGCAGCATCCCTGGCGGAGCTGCAATAAATACTTCCGTGGTACTTCCTGATGTTGTGATCGTGTCCCCAGGCATTAAGCGCTATCAGCAGCATGCGCTAGCTGACCGATAAGCTCACCAGCCGTTCCTGGCCTGCTGCAAAAACAAGATGTTTTCCACCACTGACAATTTCAGAGTGCTCGTGCTTTCAGACAGCAGGGGGCAGGAAGCTCCAAAAGTGAGAAGACAAGTAATGAGGAGCAATTTCACTAGTCCTTTAAAAGAGGAGAGCTGTCTTTTGCAAAATGGCATTTCTTCCTTTACCTTGTATTTTTATTTTCGTCCCTGCTCAGACGTCTTACCAGCAAATCTTAAGTGTACTCAACTGAAGAGCTTGAAATGCTATTTTGGCTAAAGAATTTTGTTTCAGATGGGTATTTCTGTTTCACATAGATATTATTTTTCCACAACTGCAGGTGGAATAATAATCCCATGCTACCTGATATTTTTCAGCACTTGAACAACTCAGATGTCTGACCAGTCAGTTTCTCAAAACAAGGACTCAAGTCACCTCTTGACTAGAGGGTTAAAACGCCCAGTATAGGAATGAAGTTGTCACACATTTATGAAATGGGTTATATGTGCAAGCAGACAGGTAGGAAATTTAGACTTCCATTATTTAATACTTTGAAGTGCATACTGGGGTGGGGGAAAGCAATTAGTCTAGGCAAGGTTCATTATTTGATCAGATACCAGTTACCTACATATGATTAAGACAATTTTTGTGACATTTTCTCATCATTGTAGGTATTCCTTCTCAAACTAGGATGTTTTCCCCATCTCCAGATCTGACTTTTCTTTAAAAACCAAAAAAATCCTAACCAAAGCACCTCCACCCCTTCTTCTAGATATAATGTTCCTCCTTAAAAGCCACTCACCATCAAACTCTGGGAAATAGTCAACAAGGTGGGAATACAGGATCTTGTCTTCCAACAGATCTTTCTTGTTGAGAAAAAGGATAACAGAAGAGTTTTGGAACCATGGATAAGTGATAATGGTTCGAAAGAGAGCTTTACTCTCTTCCATCCGGTTCTGTAATAAGAAAAAGAGAGACCTGTTTTCACAAGTGAGCACCAAGATGCCTTTCTGCTACCTGCACACGTACTCAGATCTGTATCGATCCAGCATCTCAGACACTGTGCAGAGAATACTTTGGCCCCAGGTGGGCTCTGGCTCAAGCTGCACCAGTAAATGGAAAGGAAATGCAAAATCTGATGGACTCAAGCTTCATTTAACTACCAAGCTGTTCCTATCAGAAGGTTTAAAATTCATGTTATGCTCTGACAGTCATGCGAGAAGACCGGCCACAATACTTTGTGAACATGTTTTGTCTAGCAGAAAAGGAAAAACTGCTGTTACCTTAACGTGAAAATTCCGTATCGCACCTTCAAAGAGACCAGTCACTATCTAACAGGACAGCAGTCACGGCATGAAGTAATTCAGTGTGGAAAAGAGGAATGGGTGATTTTCAGAAGCATGCTGTCAGACTGCACAGCGCCTTCCAAGGCACACAGAGCTCAGCAGGTTCAGAGTATTTCAGTATGACGTGAGAAGTACAGATGACCTGAACACACTGGGCATTCTGGGGACTTCACGGCCCACTGAGGATCGTGTTCCCTTTCAGCAGGAAGGCCTGAGGGCCAAAGCCAACTATACTCGTTAATTCAGCCTGGCACCAAGCGCTTTGGTACCAACCTCCACGAAGCCAGAAAGACATTCCTCCCTTCCTTCCACCCTCCTTCGGAGTTCCCATGCTTTGGCTTACCTCGTTATCAGATTCCACCAGAACTTGGTCATATTCACTAAGTGCTACTAAAAACATGATGGAAGTCACATTTTCAAAGCAGTGGATCCACTTCCTTCGCTCTGATCTTTGACCTCCAACATCCACCATTCTAAGGAAGAGAAACACATACAGTATCACAGAAGTAGCTGCAGTTCTGTCCAAAGGCAAAGGACCAGCATACCATGAGAAGGAGTGCAGCTCTCTACCTTTCAAATTAACCTGGCACGGGGATGTAAAAATACGTGCTTGCTAACAAAATCAGGTTTACAAAATATCCTGTTCCAGAAATAAATTAAACTGAAGAGATGGCCACAGATGAGTGATACCAAATTCAAATCCCAAGTATCAGCATTACCATTTTTAGTTGCATTCTGCTTTAGTTGCATTCAGCAGTCCTGAGTCTGAAAAGACAAGTCCTTCAAAACTCTGCTCTGTCAGACAAGCAAACTATTTTTATTTTTTATTAAAGCATCTGCTTGCCTCAAAACTTCTCTCACACAGAAAGCTTTCTTTAGTTATTAAACTTTTCTTAGAATCTGCTGTTTAACAGTTATGCACTTTGGCTCCTCAGTTTCAAGTCCCACCTGTATCCTATGCTAAAATTATTGTGTCACTCGCCTAAAGTGCAACACACAGTCCACCTCTGATAAAACCCTACACCTATTTCATAGGTCAGGAAACCAGAACAGGGAGAGGAACTTTCTGTAACTGAACGGTCTAAGAAAGAGGATGCAGGCTTCTTTAGTTCTCTCTTGTAACATCAATACTGCGGTAGAGAAGGGCAGGGAGCACGTAAGTACCAGAGAGCTAGGAAGAAAATTGCTTTGCAACAGACAGGCATGTCACTGTGCCCTTTATGCCATGCTCGATCGCTGGCGTAAGCCTCCAAACACCATTTACTGCTACAGCAGCAGCACAGGCAGCAAGTTCTGGTGCCATCCTGAGCGCACAAGGCAGGCACAGCACAACAGTTCTGAAGGCTAGATATCACACACAAGGAAGTTTCTGCACAAAAAGTGGTCTGTTTTTGAAGGAGAAATAAATGGTCAAAGTTGTTTGAGCTAAGCATTTTTACAGGGAAACACATTTCAAGTCAAGCACTGCCCAGACCAAGCTTCTGCCCCCTCCCCTTGGCGGCTTACGCTGCCCACAGCTCCCTGAGCCGCCTCAGCTGCCAGCAAGGCAATCCTTCCCAGCAGGGACACCAGCCCCTGCAGGACGGTGAGCTGGGCTCCAAGTGTCACTGATTCAAAAGCACGTTCTGCTTTCCGACAGCCAGTGCTTCAGCTTGGGAGTTCTCCCTTACTCAGAATGAAATGTTCGACCATCCCCATCACAGGGCTCCCGTCAGCAGACACCAGCACATCGCAGCACACACACCCACTCAAGCCTCTCAACTAAGCACCTGGGTGCTCAAAAGCAACCCAGAACTCATCCTTCCTGAAACCACATCACGCCTCTCTCAGTCCAGCTGTAACATGAATACACCATCAGTACCTGAAGATAATATTCTCTAGGTCAAAGGGGTACTCTATGATACCGGTTGTAGGAACTCTAACCCGTAGCACATCTTGCTGAGTTGGTAGATATCCCGGGGTAGCGATACGATCCACGTCGCTAAGATAGCTGCAAGAAGCACAATGGAAAAAAAAAAAAAACCAAAAAAAACCCTACCTTAGGTTCCAGCACATAAATACACAGATTTAAACACCACTACGTTAACAAGGAAGGCAGAAGTCACCTGAACCATTTAAAATACGATGTGGAAAAATAACAAAATACTTCCTTGGGGAACAGTAATTCACCAGCCATCCTCTCTGGAGGATAAACAGATGTATTAAGAACAGCTTTATCAACTCTGCATAGGAGCGTGGAAGACCATCTTTACTACAGAGAAAGTTTAAGTACAGTGGATGCTTATGTTTCAGAATCAAGTCTCATACAGGCTTGTTTATAAACAGAAAACCTCATGTCACCAGACTCAGATTTTATTAATAATAAATCCATTAAGTTACACATCCATGTACACCTGTAGGCCAAAGGACAAACTTGAAGAGAAAGAGCAATACTTCTGCTGCCTAAGAGCCAGGACCAACACAGATGGCATAAGGCAGAAATTCCAGCCTCAGGTATAGCCAGAAGCAGATGTGTGAACAACTGTCTTTATCACCCACCAGAACACCTCATACCCTCATGAAAAGTAGCAAATGGTAAGGAATTTCCAGATCTAAATCCATGCAGAAATAAACATAGCTTCTCCCATTTCCAGCAAAGCTCTTTGCCTTTCTGGAGCCAGATGTGAGCAAGTTACCAGTTACCTGCTGCCACTGCTCTTTCATCTTAACTTTTCCTAAGGACACTTCTGGCTGACAGAGGCAAAGTGCCTTCCTCATATGCTGATTTTTAACCCAATACACATAGCCAGCAGAGACCATGTAGCTTGTCTAAAACACTAGCAAGCCTCATGTGCCTCAATGAAAAAGGTAAAAGGTACTTTAAACAAACTATGCAGTGAAATTTACAGTAGCATTGCTGCCCTTTGAAAGAAACTCTAGACTTCAATAAAAAAATTTGTTAGACCATCAGTACCACTCACCAGTGCATGCCAGTGACTATACACTTACTATTTAGCTGAATCAGAAAGCTGATATTCTCTTCTCCTGTCATAACACTCTTGTATTCCAGGGTCGTTCCACAATGTTTTAATTGCACTTACATATGGCTGCTCAAATGTCATGACCTTTTCTACGTCCACTTCCCGGATCAGCACTGCATTGGCCTGGAGATTGAAAAGGAAAGGGGGAAAAAAAAAAGGCGGGGGGGGGGG